TGATAATATCAATTTTAAGTTAATTTTATTTTGTTATTTGATACAAATAATCATTAATTATACATATATACAATGACAAATATGTCAAATAAATAAAAATATTTTATTAAATTTATTTTACTTGTTAAGTGATGAGTAATTTGCTATAAGATCTATAAAAGAATAAAAATTAGAAAACACCACTTTATTTTTTTCAAAAATGATTTATTTATTTATTTTTTAAGTATAAGACCTTTTTTTTTTATCAAAAGTCTAAGGGGGGAGGGGGGAGGGCGAGGGCCCCCCTTTGCACCCCCCTGGCCCGTCCCTGCCTGCTACCCTTTGTTAGTTTTATTGCAGGTTCTTGTAAAACTAACCAAGACCAAAAAGCCGAATAAATGTCTCTGTTTTCTAAAAAAAACTTATACTACAAGCACTAAAACTTTTTTTTTTCTTGTTATGTTTAATATTTTTCAAATAAAACTCAGTTGATAGATGATTGTTAAAAAATAGTAAATAATAAATATTATAAATAAAAGAAACGAGACACAGACAGAACTAGAGAAAAAATGGAGGAGATAGAAGTTCACCGTGACATCCATGAGGTAGATAAGGGTTGCCTTCAAATCCACGTTCACAAAAACATTGTTGATTTGCGCTTGAGTACGTTAAAGATAAATTATAGAAGCGAAACAAGCGGAAATTCTTGAAACCATAACCAATAGTATCATTAGTACCATTAAGCCGACCATAACCAATGGTATCGTTAAAAACATTAAACTGGAAACAATTAAATGCATTCTCATTTGTATGTGGTAATTGTGACACATCCGCATCAGTAATCGCCCATTCTAACACGCCTGGAACATATTCCTCCAAGTCGAGCGCTGACCAGACGGTAATAAAAGGACTTCCAGCAAGATTCAAAGGTGCCAAGGTTCTATTACAGTTCGTGCAGTTTGTGGGTAGTTTGACGACAATAAAGGTGGGATCAAGAGAGAAACACAATACCTCTATTTTTGCGCTGGTTAGGAATATTTTAGGAGGTTTGTGAGCGTTATGACAGGAGACCTCAAACTGTTTCTTCATATAGCAATCTTTTCCGATTCCAAAGGGGTATGGAATGCTGACATCCCCACAAAACTCTTGACAGCCATGCTTCACCAGAGCCTGATCTGCTGCTGATTCAATCATTAGCAGTGCTAAGAAAGCAAAGATAGATGATGTTCGTATGATCATCATTTCTATCGTTCCTCAAATGCTTATTAGATTTGAGATCTAGAAAACGGTATAGGTGGAACTTTATAAGCAATAGAGATGAAATGTATGTTTCTATGCATGTTCTGGGACCACCCAA